ACATGCAGATCAGGCAAGTTATGGCATCTCAGTTTTCTCATCCTTCAAATGGGAATAATATGATTTAAATTACCACCCTCACAGGGATGTAGTGACAATCAAATGAGAAAATGAAGGCAAAAGCACTTTGTAACCATAAAATGCTAAATGATTATTGTAATATGTTATTGATAAAATGGAGCTACGAAGTCCTGCCCTAGCTCCCACACTGGGTTGTTGCAGGGATCAAAAGAAATAATGGATATGAAAGTGGCATGCCAAGTACAAAGCTCTATGCAGATGTGGGTTCCTGAGGCATTAATATGAGCTTAAATCATTTTTTTCCCAGGAAATTCTGCTAGTTAAGTTGGCTGGGATGTTACATTTATTTGTGTCAATAGTGATGTAAGAGTTTTTGAAATATTGCAGCATCTCAGTGCTGTACTGGTAAATATTTAACAAGCTCTCTGGGGAAAAAAAGGTATGCAGGACACAGTTTGGAGTTTTATCTGCATTATTAACATTCTCTTCATCATTTTATTATGTCCAGATGATCAACAAAACAAAAACAAAATCAATCGCTGATTTGTACCATTTGCTGATTTCCAATATGTTAGTGCTCACACTGAAAATTTAACAATCGGCTGGTTCCAGCATACCCCTGACATCTTGGGGCTAGGTCTGTGAATTATTCAACCAGTTAGTCGAAAAACATTTATGAAGTGGTTACCACGCATCAGGCATTGTACTAAGTGTTGGAGATATAAAGAAAGACAAAAACATGGTCCTTGCCCTCAAGAAGCTCACATTCTAATGGGTGAGACCATATTCAAACAACTCTACATACAAGATATCTGTAGTGTAAATGGAAAGTAATCTCAGAGTGAAGACACTAGCAATAAGAGAGAAGGAGAGGAGGAAACAAGAAAGCCCTCTTACAAGTGGAATTTGAGCCAAGTCTAGAATGAGGCCAGGGAAGCCAGAGGTAAGGAAGGCAGAGGTAAGGAAGAAAAGCATTCTAGGAACGGGGGGGGGGGGGAAGGCAGGGAAAAGGCACAGGGATGGACTATTGTGTGCCATGTGTCAGAAACAAAAAGTAGACCATGGGATCACAGATTTAAAGACAGAAAGGACCCTAGAGGTCCATCTAGTCTGACCCCCTCCTTTTGCATAACTTGCCTGGGCTCACAAAGGTAGTAAGCAACAGAGTAACTAGCCCTTAACTAGTCACTTAACCCTGCTTGACTCAGTTTCCTCAACTGTAAAATGAGCTGGAGAAGGAAATGGCAACCTGCTCCAGTATCTTTACCAAGAAAACTTCAAAGAGGGGCACAAAGAGTCTAACGTGACTGAAACAACCGAACAACAACCATCATCTCTGCCTCCAAATGAAGCACCCTTTCCACTCTACCACAGGGCTAAGGCTCAGTTGTGCACGTAGAGAGGGCTCCAGAACTCATGTGCTTGTGCAGGCTCTTGACACTGATTATCGCAAGCTACCTCCCAGCACTCTCAGCACTCTCATTGCCTCTGACATAAAACATTTTAAGAGTAGGATTATATGTGCAAAAACTATTCAATTTAATGTAATCAAAATTATCCATTTTGCATTTCATAATGTTTTCTATCTCCTGTTTCTATCTCTCTATTCTTCTGTTCTCCATAAATATGATAAGTAAACTATTCCTTGCTCTCCCAGTTTGCTTATAGTATCAGTCTTTATATCTAAATCATAAACCCATTTTGACTTTATTTTGGTATATGGTGTGAGACTTTGGTCTATGCCTAGTTTCTGCCATACTCTTTTCTAGTTTTCCTAGCAGTTTTTTTTTTCAAAGAGTAGGTTCTTATCCCAGAAGCTGGGGTCTTTGGGTTTGTCAAATAGTGGATTACTATAGTCATTGACTACTGTGTCTTCATACCTAACCTATTCCACTGATCCACCACTCTATTTCTTAGCCAATACCAAGTAGTTTTGATGATTGCTACTTTACTATACGATTTAAGATCTGGTACAGCTAGGACACCTTCCCTTACTGTTCTTTTTATTAGTTCCCTTGATATTCTGGATCTTTTGTTCTTCCAGATGAATGTTGTTATTATTTTTTCTAGCTATATAAAATAATTTTTGGTAGTTTGATTGGTATGGCACTGAATAAGTGAATTAATTTAGGTAGAATTGTCACTTTTATTGTATTACCTTGGCCTACCCACGAGCAACTGATGTTTTTCCAATTATTTAGATCTGACTTTATTTGTGTGAAAAGTGTTTTGTAATTGTGTTCATATAGTGCCTGTGTTTGTTTCTGCAGGTAGACTCCTAAATATTTTATAATGTCTACAGTAACTTTAAATAGAATTTCTCTTTCTATCTCTTGCTGTTGGGCTTTGTTGGTAATATATAGAAATGCTGATCGGGAAAGAATTTTTACAACCAATGTCTCTCATAAGGGCCTCATTTCTAAAATATATAGAGAATTAAGTAAAATTTATAAGAATATAGGTCATTCCCCAATTGATAAACAGCCAAAGAATATGAACGAGCTGTTTTCAGATGAAGAAATTAAAGCCATCTATAGTTATATGAAAAAGTGCTCTAAATCACTATTGATTAGAGAAATGCAAATCAAAAATGACTCTGAGGTACCCCATCACACCTATCAGATTGGCCAACATGACAAAACAGGAAAATGATAAATGTTGGAGAAGATGTGGGAAAATTGGAACACTAATGCATTGTTGGTGGAGTTGTGAAATGATCCGAACATTTTGGAGAGCAATTTGGAACTATGCCCAAAGGGCTATAAAAATGTGCATGCCCTTTGACCCAGCAATAGCACTTCTAGGGCTGTATCCCAAAGAGATCATACAAATGGGAAAAGGACCCACATGTACAAAAATATTTATAGCAGCTCTTTTTTGTGGTGGCAAAGAATTGGAAATTGAGAGGATGCCCATCAATTGGGGAATGTCTGAACAAGTTGTGGTATATGAATGTAATGGAATGCTATTGTGCTATAAGAAATGATGAGCAGGCAGACTTCAGAAAAACCTGGAAAACATGTATGGACTGATGCTGAGTGAAGCGAGCAGAACCAGGAGAACATTGTACACAGTAACAGTCACACTGTGCGATGACCAACATTGATAGCAATGCAAGGATCTAAGACATCTCCAAAGGCCTCATTATGGAAAATGCTATCCACATCCAAAGAAAGAACTTTGGAGTTTGAATGCAGATTGAAGCATACTATTTGCTATTTTTTCTTCTGTTTTGTGTTGCTTTTTTCTTTCTTGTGGTTCCTCCTATTGGTTCTAATTCTTCCTTACAACATGACTAATGTGAAAATATGTTTAATAGGAATGTATATGTATAGTCTATATCAGATTGTACGCTATCTTCGGGACAGAGAGGGAGGAAAATTCAAAACTCAAAAACTTATGGAAGTGATTGTTGATAAATTAAAATAAATTAATTAAAAAAATAAAGTTATGATCCTCTAAAAAAAAAAAGAGTATGATTATAGAGTTAAAAATCAGGCAGTGAGGTAGTGCAGTGAATAGAGTGCCAGGCCTGGAGTCAGGAAGACCTGCATCAAAATCTGGCCTCAGATACTTACTAGATATGTGACCCTGGCCAAGCCACTTAACCCTATTTGCCTCAGTTTCCTCATCTGTAAAATGAGCTAGGGAAAGAAATGGCAACCTGCTCCAGTATCTTTGCCAAGAAAACCCCTAATGGGGTCACAAAGAGTCAGACGTGACTGAAAATGACTCAACAACAACAATAGAGCAAAGAATATTGAATCTGTAGTTAAAGGATCTGGGTTCAAGTCCTGACCCTGCCACTTATTATTTGTGTGATTTGGGTCAAGTCATTTAACCTCTATGGGGCTGTTTCCTCATCTGTAAAGTGAGAAAGTTGGAAAAGATTTCAAAGTCCTCTTCCACTTCTAAATCTATAATCCTGGGATTCTTTAGGATTGGATGGTATCTAAGGTCCCTTCCAGCTCAGACATTCAATATTTTCAGGTCCCTTCTCGTTCTGAAATTATTTGAGTTTATACATATTATTAACTCAGTGATCTCAGCTAAGGTCTTAAAATTGTATTTTTCATCAATTTGAGGTGAAGTCATTGGCTACGGAGTGGACTTGTATATGGCCAAATGATTCACTCTATTTAATCACCCATCACTAGTGCTATCTACAAGTGGTTTCTGAACACATTCCTAAATGGAAAATAAAAATATAAGAAACAAAGGGTCCCATGAGAAAAAATTTAAATCAAGTAAGCAATTGCTTCAGGAACCCTGATCTAAGCTAAGATCTGATCTAGGTGGGTACAAAACTAAAATCTTTGATCATGTCTTCTTCTTTGCAGCTGCCTGGAGGGATCACGGCTGGAAATACCAAGGTTATAATACCCCAACCAACCTCTTCTCCTTTCCCTTACCTTTCCTGTCACCCTAAGGCTTTGGGTGAGGTGCAAGGTAGCTCCTCACTGGGCAAAAGTTGGGAATTTAAGATCCAAACCAAATATGTAAGAACTCCACATTCTGTTGCTCCTAAGCCCTAACTGGAGAACACTCTTAACAAACCTTTCAATGTGCAAAGGTTTACCCAGCTTCTCTCCACTGCCATGTTTTCATACCCCACTGGATCACACACAACAAGGATTGCAAATTAAGATCTGTTTGCAATCAGTATTTTAGCTTTCTTTCTATTTTCATGTATCTGAGAAAGGGTTGCCAAATGGCTAACAGATGCTGTGATTCTGGAGAAAGACATCCCTCTGATGTAAACCCAGACAAAATGAAAGAGGGGGTGGGGGAGGGAGAGGAGAGAGGCAGGTAGAATAAGTGACCTGATTCCTAGTCCCAGCTAAAAATGAGACTAGACCCTGTGAACGGGACTTTGACTTTGTGGTCTTAGGCGAGCAATTTTCTGGCCCTCAGCCCCTAGATTTTTCCCCTACAAAATGAGTGAATTGGACGAAATCTCAAGGTTCTACAGTTTTATGATTCTAAGGTCCCTCACAGCTCAATCATTCTATGTTTTTGATCTGAAATTTTATATTTTATGTCTCTTCTGTATTTAACATTCTGTTGTTTCAATACTTTATTGTCCTAAGTCCTTTCACATTCTCCAGCTCTTACATTCTATAGTCTGTGTTCTAAGGTCCCTTTCAGTTGTAACATTCTGTGTTCTATGTCATGAAGTCCCTTCCAGCTTTCACATTCTGTTCTTTTGTGACATAGCACAGATTGGGATGATTTATTTTTTCTTGTAGCTGGAAAGGGCTGGGAATCCTAAAATGCATTGGCCATAATTATACATTGGAGACCAAAGGTCAGGAGCTTTGCATATACAAATATGTACACTGTCAAGCAATAAGCGGTGAGTAATGCCCAAGGGGAAAGGTGTTTAGTATACATCCCTGTGGTTTCTTTTGTGTTGTTTTGTTTTTCCTGCTGGCTAAAGCAAGGGCATTGATCCAAAGCACTGATCCAGAACATGAGAAGGTTTCCCACAATACAAAGGGAAATAAGGACTTAACTAGCTGATTCCCATAGAAAACAGAGCCAGCCATAAATCTGGTCCCACAGTGGTTAGCCGCTGTTTTTGCTGTTGTTCATCCTCAGTACTCAAAGAAGCCCAAAGTCACCACACTTTGAGTGATGCCCTTGACTTGTGGGTGTGTTGGATTGAAGTGAGGCAGAGTTGCACAAATTTGTCTCGCTCTCTTTTCGAGAGTCATCAAAGTCCAGGAATCAGACAAAAGTCAGGACGACTGGCAATGACCTGGGATGCAGCAGTCGACCTTGACGTCTTTGATGTCTGACCAAGCTCTACGGGCTCCACAGTTCTCCTGCACTCATTCTGCCAGGGAAAGGCTTCACATGCTTGGGATGGGCATCCCCCTAACTCATCAACAGGTTTAAGGTCTAGCAATTACATTCAACCTGATTTAGTCCATCTACTGAGATGGTTTTACTGGGGTGTGGCCACTGCACATGCTACAGCTATTTGGAGCCACATGTGAGAGTTGGGTGATGAATGGACACCAAAGGTGGATGAGCAGCCCTAAAAAAAAGGCTTAGCAAGCCCACTCACCAGAGGTTCTAGTCCTCCTTCAACACCCCACATACCCCACGATGGTTAGCTACATCCCCCATAGAACCGTGCATTGTAAGAAAGTTTAGTTAGAACAAATAAAGTAAGCCATCAGTCAAGAAGTAGCTAGGTGACTATGTATAGAGAGCTGGGACTGGAGTCAAGAAGATGTGAGTTCAAATTCTGCCTCAGATAAATACTAGCTGTGTGACCCTGGGCAAGTCACTTTACTTTAACTGCTGTCTGCCTCAGTTTCCTTAACCATAAAATGGGGATAATAATAGCACCTACCTCCCAAAGTTGTTGTGAGGATTAATTGAGATAATATTTGTAAAACATTTAGTACAGTGTCTGGAACACAGTAGGTGCTTAGTAAATTATTGTTTCCATATTTCCTTCAAGTAGGATAATATATGCTTCGTTCTATACTTACATAGCCTGCTACTTCTCTGTCAAAAATAAGACATGTTTTACTGTCATTCCCCTAGAGTAAAAACTGGCCATTGACATAATCAGAATTCTGAAGTCTTTTCATACTGTTTTTCTTTACATTTTTGCTGGACATACTGTAATTTTTTTCATTCTTGGATCTACTTATTTTTCTCTGCATCAATAAACGCAAGTCTTCTCAAGTTTATCTGAATTCTTCATGTTCATCATTTCTTATGACAATAATATTTCATTATATGCGTATGCCACAATTTGTTTGGTTGTTCCATAACTGTTGAGTAATTTTTACACACACAAAACCCTGGACCACTCCTCCCTATCTTGAAGAAATACTTTATAAATTTATGAGATCCAACTGTATAGAGAACCAGGGATGTAGACTAACTGGCAACTGGGAGTTGGATAAGACCATTTTTTAATTGGTGAGGATGAGTCTAAAGATGGGACAAGATCAGCTAGTCCACTTCTCAAGCGTAACACACAAATGCCTGGAGTTTCTAAGAAGCTGAAGTTATTTTCAGGTGGTATTGAGATAACAATTCTCTTAGAATTATGATGTTTTATGAGAGAAGTGTACTTCTAAGCTCTAAGTCAGAGTTTCTCTTTAATTAAGAGTGATTGTGGGAAAGCCTAAACCTTTGGCATCTAATTGAGAGAGAAAGATGAAACTTTTGAACCCATGAGCTTCTTCACTTAGAGAAAAGGATGAGGTTTGTGTATGGGACTGCAGAATAAAATAATTTACAAAGTAAAATCAAGTATAAAACATGGGATAAGTAGTTAATTCTCACAATTTGCATGCATCTGTGACATTTCTAGAAAATAGACAATTCTCACTTTATGTAATTTGCATTATGCAAATTTGACTTTGCTTAAAGAATTATGAAAGAAATCTGAATGAGGATTCTGAATGAAGATCTGACTGAGCTACTAACTGCAAAGATTGAAGAGGAGGAAAGGGAATCTTCAGAACCTGAGCTTGAACCAGAAAGGTTCCCAACAAAATAGTTGGCAGAAGCATTCATCATTTGAGTGAATATTTTTCTTGTATTGAAAAGATGGATCCAAATATTTCAAGATTTTTAAAAGTTCAAAGATGAGTTGAGGAAAATATTACTTGCTATTGTCAGATATATGAAGGGGGCGAGGGGTGCAGAGAAAGCCACTGTCCAAACATCTCTTGATAACTTCATAAAAAAAGTTGTATAGCCAACCACCAGTGATAAAGGCTAGGTGCAGTGGGTGGGAAAGGGCTAGCATACTACACACCTGTGTTGACTTTACTGTATAGTACTGTGCATACTTTATCATTAACTTCACCTTTCATTTCATAATTCCATTTATTATCACGGTACAGTATTTAATATGTCTGCATTTCAGCATATTTTATGACTTGAGGAAAGGTATTATTTTATGTATGCCTTTGTTATTATAGGCTAAGTGAAGTGGGTGGGTAGGGGAAAATTCACATTACATCAGTCATTTAACATAGAGGTCTATGGGGCAGCCCACTTACATAAAGCAAGAACTGCTTGTAGTGACTTTTTCTAGTATAATTCTAGATTGTTTTCTAAAATGGTTGGACAGATTCACAATTCTACCAACAGTGCATTAAAACAACTGTCTTTTCATAGCCCCTTCGAACACTTACCATTTTTATCTCTGCCAATGTGAGGAATATGAGGCAAAACCTCAGAATTATCTTAATTTTCATTTATTATATTAGTGCTTTGGAACATTATTTCAAATTATTGTTTATAGCTTGTGTTTCTTCTTTGAAAACTGCTTTAGCCACTTATCTATTCAGGAATAACTTTTGTTCTCAAACACTTGTATTAATTCACTATACTTCTCAGATTTTGACATATCAGAGATATTTGCTGTGAAGATTTTTTTCAATTAACAGCTTACCTTCTTATTCTTGCTGCTTTAATTTGGTTTGTGCAAAAGCTTTGGAATTTTGTGTAAAAGGGGTCTGGCACATACATGGTGCTCCTCAAAGGTTATTTACTGAGTAGAAGGAGCTAGAGAGCTTGCTTCTGGGAGAGTCGTGCTTTAAAGAGATTTTGAGCATGTGTAGATGTGCTGTGTAACTAGTTCCAATCTGTTAACCAAAGAAATGTTCTCAGTTGCTGGGAAAACAGATGTGTTTCAAAAGACAATAGCAACCAGAGACCTGACCATTTTCTCTTTGGGTACTTTCTTAGCTCGACTTCTTTGCTTTCCAATAAGAGGCTATGCTATTAGAGAAGAGGCCTTTAAGGGCTTCCTCCCTCCTGAAGCCAACATGTGGCCCCGTGAAAGAAGGTTCTGTCCTTGGATTATAAATTTGTTCTTGCTAGTTTTAGATGACAGAATTGGATCCTTTAACCTCATGAGTCTGTAAAGATCAGGAGCATAAACCTCCGGGAGGCTCAGCATCTCAGAATGTAGGAAACCAGATTTAAAAGCTAGCCCAACAACGATGCCCTGAGGAACGAGGAGTGACCTTTGAGAGTGACCATCAAGATTCAGGCCAGCAGTAGTTGACATAAGGACTCATGTCAGCTGTGACACATTTGGATGTGTACTTTGCAGAAGCAATACTATGTAGGGACTGAAGTAAATTTGGGCCCACTCTCTCCAGAGACTGGGGTAGAATAGGCAAGCGTATGCCTCTGGCGTATTAGGAGAAAGCTTTATAATTCTGCTCTTACTGTTGGTGTTGGCGTTTGTCCTTCGTTTTCGAAGAGGGCTAATGACATCATGGGGTGATGTCTTGACTGGTGCATGAATTAGATTTAAGTGAAGTAGAATTGCACAAAGTTGTCAGCTTCACTCTCTCGTCCAGCGTCATCAAAGTCCAGTGGCAAGACAAAAGTCAGGACTGCTGATGATGGCCCAGGATGCAGTGGACGACCTTGGCATCTTTGATGTTTGACCAAGCTCTATAAATTCCACAGCATCTGCTTCAGTTGCCTTCATGGCTGTTGGAATTGTTCTCATCCACCCATTCTCCAGAGGGAAGTCTCCACATGCTTCAGGTGGGCATTATCCTACCTCACTTAAGGGTTTAAGGCCTGTTGGTTACCCTCAACCTGTTTTAACCCACCCGCTGAAATGGTTTTATCGGGATATGGTACTGCGCCTGCTACAGCTTCTTGGAGCTACTGATGAGAGCTGGGTGACAGGTGGACACCAAAGGTGGATGAGCAGCCCTGAAAAGGGCTCTGCAAGCCCTCTCACCAGAGGGGCTAGTCCTCCCTGAACACCCCATACATCCCATATAACCCTTTGTTATAGAAGTACCAAATTAATATTAATGTATTATATCACTAAAATATATTATGTATGGTATGCATATTATAATTCTACTATAAATATCACAAAATGGTAATTAACAATATATTGTGTAATAGTATATTATTAATATGATATTACTATTGTTATTCAATATATAATATTCAAAAATCATCATAATTATTTTATAACTATTTTGTCATGTAAATACTATACAATAGAAGTTATTATTAACAATGATTGATTATTACACACATACACACACAGAAACACAAATATACACATCAATTGTTCTTTAAGTGAATTTAAGCCAATAATTGGTTAGAAAAACAGCTGGTTACCAATTTTTAAAACCGATTTTGTCAAAAGAGTATAGCAAATACAGAGCTGGCCACACTGGCTGTGCAGTCACTGTCCAGTGACTCTGGACATGTCACTTAACCTGTTAATCTCCTAAGCAACTAACTCTCCAAAAAGTTTAAAGTTGCAAAACAGAAGCAGCTCTGCATTAGTAGAGGGAGTCCTCTTCCCTGAGATTTCCCTTAATCAATGAA